GCTATTGCTCTAAACTTTGCTTTAACACCTGATCTTGCCACCACATTATGTTTTTTACTCCAACAAGTTACAAGATTATCACTTAAAAAAGTACAGTAGCCTGAAGTAGATCTTTTATCAGTTACAGAACCTGCATAATCAACATCTATATATGTCTCTAGTACTAACCCCAAATTTCTTTTAAACAAGATATCTCTCCCAAGATTAGCCTTCAAATAATGTAGTACACAGTAAACAGCCTGTCGATGCACTTCTTTAAGATTATGCATAAATTGACTTATCACACTCACAGCATATACTATGTCAAGTCTAGTATGTGAAAGATAAATAAATCTTTCAACTAATATCTGGTAAATATCCCTATCTATAGTAGCATCTTCATTAGTTTTTCCATGTTTATGATTAAGATCTATAGGGGTACTTGCAGGTTTACATGCGAGCTTTCCAGTTTCCTTCAAAAAATCTATTACATATTTTTATTATGAGATGAAAATACCATGTCGTGAGTGAGTTACTTTAATTCCTAAGTAATACTTCAATCTCCCTAGCTCTTTTATCTCAAATTCTCTAGTCAAATACTGTTTTAGAGATTCTTTTTTTTTTTTATCTCTTATTACAATTATATCATCAATATATACTAACAGAACTGTGACTTTCCTTGAATCTGAGTGTTTGATAAACAGTGTGTGATTCTCTTAACTCTGTTTATATTCCATTGCTAGCATCACTTTGACAAATCTTTTGAACCAAGGCTTAGGAGACTGTTTAAGGCCATATAAAGCTTTTTTCAACTTGCATACTTTGTTTGCTTTTAGATGACCTACAAATCATGGTGAAACTTTCATATATATATATTTCTTTTTCCAATTCACCACGTAAAAAGGCATTCTTTACATCAAATTGTTGAAGCTGCTAATTGTAATTTGAAGCCAAAGATAATAAAATCCTAACTGTATTCATCTTGGCAACTAGAGCAAAAATTTCCTGATAATCTACTCCATAAGTTGGAGTGTAGTTCTTAGCCACCAGTCTGGCCTTACACTTTTCGATAATACCATCTGTCTTGTATTTTGCAATGAAAATCCATTTACACCAAACTAGATTTTTTCCTATAGGTAACTCTACCAATTTCCATATCTTATTTTTTTCTAAGGCATCCATTTTTATTTTCATGGCCTACCTTTATTTCTTATTGGATAATACCTCAGATAATGTAGTTGAAATAAAAATAATGTTTAGGCTCATAAGAAATTTTTTGTGGGATGGTGAGAAATTGTCAAATGACAAAAAATTAGAGATTAGGTATAGTGGATGTTTAGTACATTCTTTGGTTCTTTTCTTAATGACAATAGGTAGATCATAATCACTAATTTTAGGAGATTCATGCTCATTTTGAGAAATAGAGTTAGAAACTATAATTACCTCATTTTCAAAGTTAGGATCAAGTTCTTGGATATGTAATGGTTCAGGAGCTAGAACTTTCTTTCTTGATTACATTTGTAATTCTTTTATAGAATCAAGAATAGTATTATCCTTAGTCATAGCTTCTATGTTTGGAATGGGTTCAGACTTAGTATCAATGTTTAGCTTGAACTCTGAAGAAATGGGTTTAGACTCAAAAGAATTAATAAGTGAAACTATTTTGGAGGAGGAGGACAAGTCATGCAAAAAAAAGTCTTTATCTTTATCTTCCATAAAAGATGTCTCCCTCTAAAGATAATATTGAGTAAAAAATGATTTACTTTATTCAAAAGTGACATTTGTAGACATAATTTTTTGGTAGGAGAATAATAACACTTATACAATTTCTGAGTTGATGAATACCCCACAAAAATACACTTAATTGCTTTTGGATCCAACTTTCCCCTATTATAATTGTGAATATGAATAAATGATGTACAACTAAATATCCTAGGTGTGAGGTTATTTATGGTATTAAAGTTATGATTGAATTGTGAAAGTAGTTTCATAGGAGTTTTAAATCCAAAGCCCTTGAAAGTAACCTATTTGTAATGTATGTGGTAGTAAGAACAGCTTTTTCCCAATAAGATTTAGGTACATTTGTTTAAAAAATAAAGGCTCAAGTTATGGTTAGTAAATAGCTATTTTTCTCTTTGCCTATCCATTTTGCTATGGAGTATTAACATAAGATGACTCATGGATAATCCTATCTTTTTTGAAATAAGTAAATAGACTTTGGTTGAAATAATTTCTTGTATTATCAGGCCTAAATCTCTTTATTCTCATTCCAAATTAATTTTGGATCATGTTTTGAAAGTTTAAGAATATACTATTCACATTTGATTTAGATTTAAGTAAAAAAAAACCTAAAAGACCTTGGTTCAATCATCTATGAATGAAACAAATCATCTTGCATAAAAAATATTAAGAATTGTAGAAGGACCCCAAATGTTACTATGAATCAAGTAAAAGGGAGTACAATTTCTTTTATTACTAATTGGAAATGACACATGTCTATACTTTACAAGTTCACAAACATCATATTTATATTTATGTAACATAAAATTATAAATTTAAATACAAAAGAAATATTACAATTTGGTGTCGTGTGAGAGATTAAAAGATAATATTTCTTATTTTTTTACTTAAAATTATGAAGCTCCAGTTTCATATAAAAAAAGTACTAACCAATAAAGAAAAAATAATTTTCACTAAAAAAAAATAATAATAACCGAAACGAGCTGTCATTAGATACAAACTACCTAGCTTGCCTTTGTATTCAAGCTGCAAGAAAAAAACCTAAGGCTTTGCCTATCATATACCCATATGTAGTTCTTTTTCAGATTTTTTCTTACGTCTCATTTGCATTTCATCATACTGTTAGGGTACTATATAATCTAATCTTCAATTACATTGTGAGATGCATTTGATTAGTTTTATGGTAATGCAATAAATGAATCATTCGATTTTAATATAGTTGATTATTTTGAATAAAACAATCAATTATTTTGTCTAAAATTATTTTAGTGTAAAATTAAAATAAAATATATTTTTTAAGTATGGCTTACCTTAAATAAAATACTCATTTTTTGTTTTTTTGTTTTAATTAAAATACTCTTTATTTGTAAAAAATAAAGCGTAAATTATATAAATATACTTTGTAATTAAACGTAATTTGAGTTTACCTCTAAAGTTTAAAAAGTGATACTTAATTATAATGGGATATGTATTCGTGTCAATTCGTTAATTTTTACTAACGCTTAATGTTTTATCGAATAAGCCCTAGCTCTTTTCCCAATTTTTTTGTTTGTTATTTCTCAGATTTAAACTTTTCAAAGAAATTTTTTTCTTTCTTCTTCATCATCAATTCTTTTTCTTTCTAAAACTAGGTAAATTGTCTCTCTAAAAATCAAATAAATGAAACTCGTTAAAATAAGACAAATCAGATAAATAGTAATAATTTTGACAGCAATAAAACTATAAATAAACGTCAATGGGCAATTAAATTTTATGTGAAAATAAAGTTTTTGAAGACGACATTTTAGCTTTTGATCATCATTTTCTCAAAGATCACAAAATCCAAGTTTATTTTTCAACTTCTCTTTGTTGTTTGGCATCATTTTTCTATATAATTGAAATTTAAAGATTGGTTTTTGTAGTGTTATATCATATGATGCCTAATTACTATCCAAAGGGCTTTTTTGACAAGAACAAGTTTTCTGACACTAAAAAACCCAAACAACGCTTAAATCTCATAACTCGATTGTGACATATGAATGATAAATTTCTCCAAAAACCATACCCACAGACCATTTGTTAAAAAATTGATAAAAAGAAATATAAGGCCATCCCTAGGCTTAAGTCTACAAATCGTGATTGATTTTCAATTTTCATGTTAGTACAAGTTTGATAGAAAAAAATTCAATCTTATAACAAAAATATAAGAAAAATAAAAAAAAATAGAGAACTTTTGAATTTAGAGAGAAAATTTCTTTGATTTTAGAGAGAAAGAATAAATTGATTCCGGAAAAGATGAAAAAAAAATAAAAAATAATGGAAAAGTAATAATTTTAGGTAAAAATAATAAAACAACACATAAAATAATTAAATATTATATTTTAAATTTTAATAGAATAAACTCAAATCATATTTAACTACAAAATATATTTAAATAATTTACCCAAAAGGTCTTCACGTTTTTCTAACTAAAATAAAAAACTACTCTACTTATTAACAATATGAAAATTGCTTTAGAAAAGTCCCATGTAATGACACGTTGTTCCGACATCAAAACCGTTTTCTAATTTCACCGTCCATTTCAATAGATCAGAACAATGGACCACCGTCGATCCACTTATTAGTATAATATACACCATACCCTAAAAAATTTTTCTTTTTTTTTTTTTTTTTTTTATTATTATATCTACGTTCCCTCCAAGTTAAAACAGTGGGAAGGAGCAAGAATAAAAAGATAAGTTGAGGGGATAAAAGAACTTCATCAAAGTTTCGGGCTATCAGGTATTATTACCATCCATTTTCATTTCCAAGGAAAAAGACAATTTCCTTTCTTTTGTTTTTTGGTTTCATAAAGTAACTAAGTGAAGTGACGATCCATGCAAAAGGAACCCTGGATTCAGCCTATTTGGTGATTTAGGATGTGGGTTTTTGTTATATTTTGGTTGCAAATAGTTATAGACTCAAAAAAGGTTTTAGAATTTGTCTTTAGGTTTCACTTTCTTTCAAGTGTTCATTTATTTTGTATTTTAATTCAAATGCTATTCTGCATTTCAGCTTGTGGGTTTTCTTTTCTTTTTCTTTTTTTCTTTTTCTATATTATTCCATCAAAGATTTGTTTTAATCTTAAATGTTTGCCTTTTACATGTTCCCTCATGAATTTTGGATAACTAAAGCCTTTTCTTTTATGTGATAGTATTAATTTTTTTATAAAGTACATACTTGAAGTTGGTATGGTAATGAAAGATGATGACAATTTTACTTCATTATTGGTGCCAATGTGTCTTTCTGATTTTCTCTTAAGTATGGCTATAAATAGCAAAAATGGAACTGATGCTGCAAAACTTCTACTATCTTGTCTTAATTCTTATGTCTGTTTGGTGGCCGAGGAAATAGAGCAAATGGAAATGGAAATGAAAATCAAATGAAAATGGAATCTTGCTGATTTTGTTTTAGTTTCTAGATGATGAAAACGTGAATGGTTTTGTATGAATTCATAATTTGTACTTGGGGAAATTCTCTCACATAGGTCTTTATTTTACAGGAGAAGATGAAAGTCAAGCTGCTACGTATCCTTTCATGAATTACAGTATTCATGGCTTTTTTTTTTTTTTCTTTTTCTTGAATCATCTTCCTCTTGTGAAATATTTTCTTACTTGAATTTATTGCAACTTGCACGTTACATCTACATTGGATTCAACAGAAAACTTGATTGGCTTGGATCATTTCTGAAAATTTCTGATCAACGCCACTTTTGCAATTAGGATATATAATCTATCTTTAAGGACATCAATACAAAGTCTTTTAGGGCATAATGGTTTTTATGGATTTTGACATGGTTCTTGTTAATCTTGAGCACATACATGATTTATTCCATTGGTTCTTGTATTTCTTGAGTAAATATATGATTTATCCCATTATAGTGGCATTTTTGTGTGGTTTTCGTAATTCTTAAGCATATCTTTGATTTATCCCAAATTGCATTTTTTGGTTCTTCCTCAACCCTTTTTGATTTGAATTTATCATGCACAAAGATGCAATGTCTTTGCCCTTTATTGATATTAGGTGTTTTCTAGATGGTACTAAGGGACATATTTATTTCAACTTTTTATGTAAACCTGGACTTGTTTGTGGTCGATATGACATTTGGTTTTTACTAGAAGAAGCAGTTTTCTCTTGACTTATCTTTCTTTCAATATCTGCTTGGCTATGAACAGAGTAAGCTCTCTTTATTACTTTCATCCCATTGTAAATACTACAAATTTTTGTGCTGAACAAAGTTTTTGGTCATTTGGTTCTTTTGCTCATAGTCAATCCTGATATGCCCTTTGTTGAACATTCCTTTTTTTTTTTTTTTAATGAGGAACCATAATTCTTATCCATATGATGACAGATGGCATGCTGTTGCTTCATGGACGTGGGATGCCCAAGATGAAACATGTGGAATTTGTAGGATGGCCTTTGATGGTTGCTGTTCTGACTGTAAACTCCCTGGTGATGATTGCCCATTGAGTAAGTCTGTCCTTAGAGTTGTCATGTTTGGCAATACTTTTACAATAGTTTCTCATGTTCTTGAGTCATTATTTAGTTCCTGAAAGGAGTTTAATTGTGGTGCCGTGCATATTAACTGTTCTTACCTTTCAGTTTAACTGAACATGTCTCCCATTCCTTTTCTTTTCTCTTTTTTGTTGGACAATTACGAGGACAGTGCTAATAAAATTTGCTAAATAGCATTCATGTGAAAAGAAAAATCTCTTTGAAATCCCAATAATATATGATCTAAAGTCAATTTAGACATGGATTACTGTTATAATTTCACCGATGTTTATTTTTTAGGAAGTACCTCTATTTTTTATATGATTGTAGCACTTTTTTCCGTCAAAAGAAAGATATACTGATTTGAGAATTTAAACATGGATTCAAGAGTAGACAACCAATGGGGGAATTTGCTCATAGTTGATTACATAATGCAGAACATTACCATTTTATTAGACTCTTAACTACCAAATTTGCGTATTCCTTGGAAGTGTGTGGAATTGAGTATCATGATCTTGTTCTCCCTTTTTTGTTTTTATTGATCAACAACTTATGTACTTTTCGGTGGTGAAGCCTCTAACATGTATAGCATTAATGTAAAATATAAAGTTGAAGGATTATGCAAAATATGGTTATTTTATACTCTTTGCAAATCTGTGGAAAGAGAAAATATTGTCCATAATCAATCCAGTGCAACCCATAGACACATTTCCGTATTGTACATTTTTTTTAATGTCACATTTTTGACATGATTGTCACAAATTCAGGATATATTATCTTGCCAGTTGTGTGTCATAAAGCTTGCATGATTTGGCAGAAGAAAATTGCACTTGAACTTTGGGGATCCTCATTTCTGTTTTAAGCTGATATCTATTTTTCATGCTAAGTATATTTCTTTATTTCTTATACAGTTTCTTTGTTTCTTATGCAGTTTCTTTGTTCACTAAATTTTAGTTTGCAAAATTTACAACTTCCACTATGAATTTCATATAAAGAGAGATGATTGAAGAAATACGAAACAAGTATTTACAAATATAATGCATAATTTTCTCTAACGATTCAAATCCACACCTCCTCAATTGTCTTCATTTCTTTCTCAATTATTGCTTTTCTTTTTTCTTGTTTCTTTTGTGTGTATTTGGAATCCATCATCTTTGTTATCATCAACATTTGCTTTCTTTGTCTATCCATTTCTTTAATGAAACTTAATGATGTTTATTTGTTGTTCTTTCGCAGTTTGGGGTGCTTGTAATCATGCTTTCCATCTTCATTGCATCTTGAAATGGGTGAATTCACAGACTTCTCAAGCGCATTGTCCCATGTGCCGTAGAGAGTGGCAGTTCAAAGGCTAATCAATTAATAAAATTTTAACCATTTTTGGTAGTCTGCTCATGTCTTAGAATACATCCTTTTAACTATTCTCATTTTGATCTACATATACTCTAGAATCACCAGATTTGAATTTTGCTATCGTGCTTTATTTAAAGTGGACCATGGTTTGGGTATCTGCCATTATACACACTCCTCTCAGAAGAAATAGTTGTCACTAAGAATTTTGAGGGTCCATTCGGAAGCTTGATTGGAGGGCTCCCACCGTGCCGGAGGGTGTGTTTTATGGCTGGACCCCCTCCAATCGGGCTCCTACATTTATTGTTAGTCTCTGGTTTTGCCTTGTTTGTAGAACGGTCTTTCTCCATGTGATGATTTTGTGTGCTTAAAGAAAGGTTCTAGTCTTGAGGTCAGCCTTTAACTCATATCCAAAGCAGTGATCTTTCTATTCTATTTTGTGGTTAATGATATTTGCTTCTTCTGTCTAACTGCAGAAAGGTAGTCTTCCTCATTTATTTGTTTGTAGACCGGAGAGTCTAGGGTTCTGGTTTTGACAGTATGTGCCCATTTCTCTTTCTCTCTCCCAAAACGAACGGAGTTCTATAACAAATTTAGCTACATGGGAAACCAATTCAAGTTTAGACAAAAGATCAAAGTTTCTTCTCATTAAGATTAATTTCCATAACAATGTTTAACTCTTACATGAGAACTGCAATGCTGAATGCTGATTGAAAACATGAGGGTAGACTAAAACTGTACTTTTTGAAAAGATGAATATAATGCATGTCCTGCTCATCAAATCAACGGAGGAACATAATAGCTGTATATACATTTTTAATGAATCAGGTTGAACTATGCTTGGGCTATTTTAAATAGCTCTTGCCACTTTTCTGGATCGGTTCCTGGACCTTCCCCCTGCAAAATAAATTTTGATGTAGCAAAACAGAGCAACTTCTCAAGCCCGGTTGAAAGTAAAATTTAAAGACTATGATCTTTCATAAAAGTTAATGCAAGAATATTATGCACTACTCTAATATGCAAGCAAGGATGAAGAGGAAAAAGAAAATGATAGAACGCACTTTTAGTAGAGCATATGTTCTTTCTAAAAGTTTCAGATAATATTACAAGATTAGACAATTAAGTCTAAAATTCATAATAATTCAAGCATACGGGTCTGATAAAAATCAGCCAGCAATTACTTTGGCCTCTCTGAAGTTGGCATTACAAAGAATTTCCATTTTGTCAAATAATTCTAATACTTTAAAAACATTAAACCGTGGCAAATTTAGATGAGATATTTACAGAGTCAAATGTTTTTAAAAAAATTACTTCACTGTAGCATCATTAACTCTAGTCATTTGTCATCCTTCGATAATCACGCAGCTTTAATGATCTATGTTCTTATTGAATAATGTTTCAGTTTTAGAAAAGCTAAAATGTAACGATGCTTGTGTGGAATGCCTGCATTTACACTAAACCTCTTGGACCAAATTTGAGTATTTACCTCAACTGAGTTGATCTCATAAATTTTGCCTTCTGTAAATTCTATGTCCATTGCTTGTATGCAAGCTTCAGCAACCACAAGCCTGCTGACCTCTCCAACCAGTTTATCTCCTGTGTCGTTTTCAAAGAAAAACAAAGAAATGTTAATAAAACGGACAGCTTATAAGTTATAATGTACTTAACCATTTGTAAATGAATCTGTCTCCAAAGCTTTTGCATGACTTAAAATGTCCTCATCAAGAGAAGAGCCTGTCATAGCAATTTCACTGTCAAAATTATTGGTTTTTTTGTTTATTACTGTTAATAACTCTGAAAGACCAACCTAACTCTTGGTCCAATTTACTGTGAAAACTTTTTTACAGTTTGACCCATTGGGAAAGCCTTTTTAACATGCCTTGACCCATGAAAACTCTTTTGCTTTCTATAATTGCAGATGAAAAACGTTTGACTGCTTAATACAAAAAATTTTACAAATTGTCCAATCGGAAAACCTAATTTAACATACCTTGACCAATGAGAACTGCCCGGCATTGCCCAGAAGTGGCTTTAAGCAAAGTATTAAGGTCATATGATGTGTAAGGTCCATCTGTCAATCTACCAGGTCTGTATACAGACAAGTATAGTTTTAAAAAACCATTGAAGAATATGCAACAGCATAAAGCATATTGATGTGCACTGTCATACTATCAAGAGATAAAAACATTAATATCAGTCACTTACCTGATAATGGTAAATGGAAGGCCAGAATCACGAAGAAAATCTTCCCCTTTCTTTTTATATTTGAGAACTCCAAATAGGTTCATAATGCTGCCAAAATAATATAAAACATAAAGTTGATAAGAAGTTTTTGCTGCAAACCAATCACCCCTCAGTATATGTTGTAGCAAAAAGTAGTACTAATAGGTGTACAGCAAGAACCCCACAATCAATAGTTTGATACCAAATTAAGTTAAATCATACAATCAGATGAAATGGATTTTGTGATTATTGTATCTTACTTTTATATTCCTTTCCGTTTTTCTGACCCTTTTTTGCAGGTGGGGGAAAGGGGAGGGGAGGGCGTGACAAGCTTTTTCAAAAGTATCATTCATACAGTCGAAATAATAATGCATGTGAAGTTTGAAACCACAAGAAAAGATATGTAACCCATTAATGAAAAAACCATCTCATGACAATCATGTTTCATTATTTGGATTGGTAACTAAATAATAAGACACAATAGTGTTGATGTCATAATTGTAACTGTAATTGTAATTATAGGGATTACGTTATGATTATTACATTATCAAATAGCAAGCTGAAAAACAAATATATCAATAGCCAAGTACGTGCTTCAAGTTTTGATGATTGGGCAGAAAAAAGTTACATCTATATACTGTACTATTTGGCTAAAGGTGCTTAGCATGTTCATAGTGACTGCTGAAAAGGGTGTCATTAAAGTTCTGAATGCAGAAGACCTCAGTGCAAATTATGAAGGATAATATGCTTTATTATGTGGCAGAACTAAGTTTTGATTCACTGAATGAAAAGTTCATTTCTTATAATTACAAACGGAAAAAAGACATATCCAGACAATCTGTAAAAATCATAATGCTAACAGAGAGACACAGTGGCAAGTCATCATGATCTTATAATTTACAGATCCAAAAGATTTTCCAAATAATTACTCTTCTTACCTCCATGGTAGTTCATTGAACTTGGTTACGCCAACTGATGAAACAAGAACTACTCTCTTCAGTGACAAAGGCAATGCAGATACAAGATTCCTTACACCCTCCCAATCTTCAAAGACTACAACATGGTCAAAACCTGTGTCTCTATGTGTGCTTGTGCATGGCTGTTCATGTATGTATGAGTCAATGTAGAGAGAGAGGGAGAGAGAGAAAGAGACAGGATTGTAAGCTTGCCGAGTGTACTTTTTAAGTTATTGATAGAGTAATGTTTGATAATTTTAATGACTTTAAAATAAATAAATTAGTTTAGATATTATTTGCATAAAAATCATCGAATATTATATTTAAAGTTTTATAATATTATGAAAATAAAAGAAATCATCATGCAAGCCAATAATTTTACAAAAAGCAACTTAAAAGTTAAGTGGCATATGAAAAGTACATATATTGGTACATTGGTTGTTGTAATCATAATTAGTAAATGTTTCCTTAAAAAAGTAGAGTAGGATTAAAAATTTTATACGTTTAATAAATTGAAATATATTCAAAAATTAAGTCAAGAGTTTGGAAAACTCAATTGCCAATAAAAAAGTTTCAAAAACTTAAGGGGGGCAAATGAATAAACTAAAAAATTGATGAAAAAACTTAGTAGGGCTAGGACATAAGTACGGAAAAGCCAAGGGTGGTCATGCCTCCCTAGATCCTCCCTAGATAAAGAGATATCATGAATATTGAAAGGACAAAAGCTTGGTCATCAACAACTCCAATTACAGAGAATGAATAAGTTAATGCAGAAATAGTAAGACATCTACCAAGTTTGATGATTATGTTTATCATTCATTACTAAGCAAGTAATATTCCATGGACAAAGGCCAAAGTAGAATGTTGATAACAATATATTGAATTTAGTTGTATATTAAAGTAATTTCTGACCTACTCTTTCAGGTGTATTATCACCATCCCATCTCTTGGAAGGAAATGCAGTTGTTCCAGTGCAACAAATCACATGTGTAACCCCCTATACACAAATTGTGAAAGATTAATACATTTGAAAATTCTGAACTGTAAGAGGTATTAATGCAACCTAAAAAAGTCATTTAACTAGAAAATAAAAGGAAAAAAGTAAAACATTTGCTAGATAAATACGAAGCACAAACCTCAAATATAGATGGATCTAGATCTGCTGGGTTTCGAGTGTCCCCTTTAAAAATCTATCAAGTTTTAAAATCTCTTTATATTAAAATTTTATATCCTGAAGAAAGATAAAAAGTTTAAAGCAAGAATACTGTTTACTACATAAAATCAATGAAAATGTTAGGAAATAATCAATGAGCATGGATGATTCATGAATCAGATGACAGTTCCACCTGTAGGTTGTCTTCATCTTGGTTGCCAAACAGAGAAGTAGCTTTCTGAGGATCTCTTAATAGCAAGCGTGATTTGATGTTCTGGTTCAGCAAAGATGCCACTACCAACTGCCCTGAAAAGGAGAGCAACTAGTTGATATTATGAATAACAAGTAAAGTTCGACATTGATCACAAGTATAACCATTGGATCACTTTGTCATGAGTGCACTAAGCCAAAGAAGTATAAATCCATGCATGCTTGTCTCATTACTTATTTTTGTTTTCATGTTTTTGTTACTTATTCTCTCTTTGGTTGGATTGTAGACAGAGGAGCAACAAACCATTTAAGTCAAGATCAAGTAGAATTTGTAAATGACAAGACGAGACTATATATCATACTCAAAGAGGAAGGCCTTCCGCATCTCCAAAATTTGTTGAGAAGCTGCTTTAACCAAGTGATTACCTCAAGACTCTTAGGTTAGCTGCTTTAATAACATCTAAGCCAAGATTCATAGAGGGGAAGAATGTGTTATATTTGCTTTGGCATTGTTGAGGAAGTGACTTATTGAATCCCTACTTCATCAATAAACGAGCAGGTGTAGATCTAGAATCTACATTGTACCCTTTGTGAGTTAGATCTATGTCATGAAATGGATACTCAATGTTGCTACTTTAGCATTTACCTAAAGTTCACAATTTACTCCATTTTTAAAAGCATCATTAATTACAGCGACCTGAAATCGGGTTTAGTGAAAAATACTTGATACTAGAAAGACTATTTAATACCACATTCTCGCATTGTAAATCATTGAATGAGAAATATGAACTAATTGTTTACAAATATAGCTATATGACATTATTATATATGAGGATTATGAGATAACTAGCTTGGGGACATGATGATACTATCTATATGGGTTACTTAGAATTGAAACAAGAATTTTAGACTATTTACCAGCCAAGGTGAAGTATTTTTGTTTATCTATATTTACCAGAAAATGTTATGGGCATATGCTTTAATTGATTATGGAATGTGCAATAAAATCAATAGGCGTCTTATATCCTTAGCAACTAACATAAAAAACAAAATTCTCCATTATTACTTTCTACGGTTATTAGTGCATGGTGAAAAAAAAAACAACAGCCTAATTGAATTCAATAAAAGAACTAAAAGCCTTCCTCTAAAAATAACAAGAAACATGCCATCTAAGCCAAATACTCAGTTTAATAAATAAATTCACAAGTGACAGCTCCAAATAAGCAATACAGTAGAACTATACAAATGGAAAACCAGAAGGGAAAGAAAAAGAGAAAGAAATCTTACCTACGCCGCCGGAGGCGCCAACGACAAGAACAAGCTTAGAGGAAGAAGGAAGAATTGTTTGGGAATGATGGGTGGTATCTGAATTTGTCGATTGGATTACTTCTTCTTTGAGAGCGTTCACAGATAGACCTCTAAAGCCTGAGTTTTTCCTGGAGAAGCCAAACCCATGACAATGATTCAGCTGTGGAAGAGCCAAAAGTGAGATTCTTTCAGATGGTTTTGAGGATTTCTCCAGATGGAATTCGAATGTGAAGGGGAGTTTGGTAGTCATGAAAATGATAAAAAAAAATGCCAATTAAAATAATAAAAAAAGAGAGCACCGTTTGTGGCGGTTATATTTCCGTTGGCGACTGCTAATTACTAAAACGTCCCCAATATTATTAGTAAATTTTTAATAAAATCCTGGATTGGTCAAATGACTTCAGTTGATGTTTTAGGGTTGTAGATCCCAAAAATTTATGGGTATAATATTTTTTATAATTAAATAAGTATAAGAATAAAAGGTTCAAATATAAATTAAAAATTAAAAATTTTGGATTGTTTCTTTCTATTTTAATTAAAATTTATTTTTATATAAAAATCACAACTTGAAAAAAAAGTTGCATATACTAATATTTAAAATTAAAATTAAAATTTATTAAATATTATTTAATAATTACATGAGTTAAACTTCAAGTTCAATAAATTTTATTTTTATATTGAATCTTTTCATCTTTAGCTGTCTACCTTTGTCAAGTATGTAATATGTAGTTTTTAAATTTTATTAAAGGTGTTAAAATATTATCACTTATTTTATTTACTTTTATATACATTTATTAATTTTTTAAAATAAATTTAATGAGATATGTGATAATTTTAATTTTATTACAAAAATTTTAAATTTTGATTGAAATAATTTTTTTAAAAAAATAAATAAGAAGGACTGATAAGTGCAGGCACCAAATTTGTCTAAGATTTTAATTAGGTCTTGATTTAGAATTCATCGGATTTATCGAGTTCTTGAGCTGAAGTCCTGTTTCGATTTAATCAAGCCCAAGGTCCAATTTCATTTTTTAGAACCAAGCCTTTTAATTTTACATTTATTGTATTTTTAATTTTAAAATACATTAATATTAAGTAATAATAATAATAAAATACAAAAAAAATATATAAAAGAAACAAAAAAAAAGGTAGAGGGCTAGTGCTAGTGGGTGCTGTCAATGAGACCATTGGCCACCCATCCCTGTAGCCTTATGTAACTCATTGCTTTCCATGCCTAAATCCCCTAAGACCTATATACCATGCCCCTAGTAGTCATCTACCCATACCCTAAAACTCCACTTTAGCACCACTAGTTTACCTAAAGCCCTATGGTGCTACCCTCAACACCTTGACCTAAATTCACCAATCTTTATATTCAACAGCCAAACCTATGCCTTAGAGACCACCTACCTAGGTAGAGTGCCATGATCGAAGCTCTATAAATAGAGCTCTGTGACGGCCAACTAATGAGGCACCTTAAAAAAAATCACCATAAAAAAATAAATCTAGAAACCTTGTCCTGATACCCCATCAAAAAAAGCACAAAGAAAAAAACTTTTCCAAAAAAGAAAACAAAACTAAAAAAAATCAATGTATAAAAAAAAAAAGAGAGCAAGAAATAAAGAAGAAGCAAAAAAAAAGGAACATAGTGCTTCTAGTGAGGGACCTAGTGTTGAATTCACAAAAGCAAAAAAAATCAAGATCCACCACAAAAAAGTTTTTGGCTGAAAGTTAAAAGAGTATATCTAAGTCATTTGGGACTTTTTTTGGTGAAAGGGAAATCGGTAAAGAGTGAGGCGAGATGTGTGTTTTTAGTTTTTTTGTATTTTTCTATCATCGATAGCAACCAATGACGACAATCAGCATAGCAATTGGTGACGGATGGCTGTAGATTTCTAGTAACCGATTGACCTTTGGGTCTTTGGGTTCAAAAAGTTTTTAGGACCTTTTTTTAAAGAAAGAAGAAAATAAGCAAAAAAAAAATTTAAGTTCTTATATAGATAGTTAGGAGGTCAAATGATGTTGTTTTAAACCTCCAAAATCCGCATGTTAGCTCATAACTCGACCCAAGATCCATGCAACTGACCCGTGACCCAACCTCTTTCTGTCCAAAATCGATCCAGTTGAATCAATCCCAAACCAATGTTAATTGGCCCTGTAAACACCATTTTTTAAAATTTTTTTTATTATCATTATTATTATTATTATTATTTTATTAATTTTCTTTTTTTTTCTTTTTTTTCTTTCTTCTTTTTCCTTATCCGATTCAAGTTGACTAAGGTATAAGTGCATTAAATGCATAATCACCAAAGTCTAAAATGTCAACGGTCGCCACCACCGGTAGCCACCCAACATGCTGCCTAACTTGGCAGCATGGATTTTAGGTTGAAAATCGGGGATTTGAATCCCAAAAAGCTTTTATAAATAGAGTTTGTTACCTGCAAGGAAAGAAGAAGATGAGTCATCGATTAAAAAAAAAACCATAAGCTCTGCCAAAAAAATTTTTTTTCTACCAGATTCCAAAAAAAACTTTTTATTAAACAAAAAAAAAAAAAACTCAACCTCTGGAACAAGGGCTATAGCGCCAAACAAAAAAAAACACATAAGAATAAAAAAAATTTGGTTGAAACTTTCAGGCCATATTTACGTCGTTTTGGATACTTTCAGGTGAAATTGTTTAGGGAGTTGAAGAGAACATTTTAGGTGATTTTACCTTTTTTTGATCACTGACAACGACGGCCGACGATAGGTGATGGTGGCGACGACGGCAATCAATCGACCACTTGCGTTTGGCCAAAAAAAAAAGAGGTATTTTTTGTGAAAGAGAGAATGGCTGAAAAAATGTTTTTGGCCTTTTATATAAATCGTCAGAACCAAAACGACACTGTTTCATTTAAATGTCCAAACGATGTCGTTTTAGCCTTTGAAGATCGCGCGTAACCAGTGACCCGACCCGGGATCTATGTCTCCTTCAGCCCCTAATCGATCTAATCGAACCGGCTTAGATGGAACCAGACCATCCCCAAGCTGAATCGTCCCTGAATCGCCAGACAGAACCAGACCGGACTAAGCCGTTGATCGAACCAGACTTACGTTGATCGGACCGTTGACCAGTCCGGTTTAAGGTAAAAATTTATTTTTTGAATTTTTTTATATATTATTTTATTAATATTTATGCATATTAAAATATTTATATTTATTAGATTAACTGATAAATATGTATTTAAATTTTTTATAATTTTGTTAATTTTTAAAATAAAAATAAAATAAAAAATAAGCTTAATAATAATACAAAAATAATAAAAATGTAAGAAGAGGAAAGTTTTTATTCGACAATGATATTCAAAGGTACTTCGAGTAGTGATGCCTACGAAATCTCTAGGTAAGAAGATTTTTTTTAAATACTACCAGTGTATTGGAGTATTTATAAAAGTTTTCAATACAATAAAATTTTTTTTGTTAATAAAAATAACAAAATAATATAAATGAGAGAAAAATTTTTTTTATCAAATGACGGGACTCTAAAAGTAGTATGAGTAATGATGCTTTACGAAATCCCTAGGTGAGAAGATTTTTTTAAATATTACTAGTGTATTGAAATATTTATATAAAAACTTCAATATAATAAAATTTTCTTTTTTTCAAGATTTATTTTAAAAAATTAAAAAATTAATAACACAATTAATAAAATTTTTTTAAAAATAAAATGTGTGCATCAAACATGGTAAATTCTGAATTGTATGCATGACAAATTTTTTATGAAAAATAAATTTAAGCATCCGAATATAAGATTCTAAGGTATTCTGAGAAGCGATGACTAAGAAATCTCTAGGTAAGAAAGAGTTTTTCTAATGTTACCAACGTACTGAAACATTTTAGAATTATTTTAATAAAAATGTTCTAATTTATTTTCTTGAATAATAAATAAAATAATAATTTCTAATAATAAAAAAAGCAAGAAAATTATTTTCAAACACCGAAAATGGGAACTATTTTTTTATCAAAATCAAAAGGATAACAGTAGTTAATTGGTACTATTTTTAAACAGGAACTGTGAGGGTGCTAATCCTTCCCCACATGTAACCGATTCTCGAACCCAAACTGTTGCGCAAATCCTAAAATTATTCTTTTAATAAATTTTAATTAATTTTAAGATTTCATTAAAAGGATATGTTTTAATAGGTGGCCAATCGCACTTAGCCAAAAAATATTGGTAGTGACTTCGTTATTTTTTATTTCATTTTCAAATTCATTGGGCGAACACAAAATCGTTACGACAGCTTGGTGACTCCACTGGGGAAGCCTTTTATTTTCGAGAGTCAAGCCAAAATTAACTATGTATTATCCTTAATTTTTTATTTAAATAGTCCTAATTATTTTTTAATTTTTATTTTCACTTTCAATAAGAAAAAGCAAAAAATGACAAATCGAAAACAAAGAAAAAAATTCACACACAGTTTTTTTTACTATGTCTCTTATGCTTTATTTTTTCTATATATATTACCTTTCAATAAATTAAGATATATTTGCACACATAATAACATGATGCATCTCATGCATGAGCTCTTATACCGAGTTTTCATCCTATAAGAGGAATAGAAACCTCATGCCCTCATGAGGTGATTAACTTTTGTAATGACAAGCCGAAATACTTCCACTCAAATTGAACCATTTTCGTTCGTAGCTTGTAATGGGTGAGGATCGAGGTGCCTTACTAGTCCAATGTGGATGACAAGTGCGCGAACAAATTTAGGAACCTTTAGATACGTTTCAATCTTAAACTCAGCAATGTAATAACCTAGGAAGCTAACCTTAAGGTAGAACTTTGCCACCTCTTGTAAATACCTAAGTCAAAGCGCATAAGATAAGGTTGTGTCTAATACAAACAAAACAAAAAAAAAAAATACCAAAACATAAAAAAATAATTTTTCTCAAACCACATCTTCACACTAACTCAATTTTGTTTGTTTGTTTTTTTTTGCATAATCATATCTACAGTTCTACATCAAGATATTTGCTTTAAAATAGCTTTTTCCTAAGAAGTCTTCATGGATCCCATAGAACTACAGATTTGCTCATCCTCAGTCAGTGTCCTATGTGAGTCATATAATGAAATACATGTTTGGTCAAAAGAAGCCCAACAAAAGAGTGGAGATCGTTTGCCTACCGATTATGTGTCTAAGTTACCCAAGAATGTATATTTGGATCTCACACAAAATAATTTAGAAGACTTAGCCATTATCTGAGGTCAGTTAAGTGAAGAAAGGAAAGAAAGCTTTTGTAAAAAGTATGAGGGGATTTCATC